ATAAGTTATATAAACGTCCACTGCATCTAACAAACTAACTGACTATAATTAACGGGCGGGCGGGTGGGGATTTATGTCAAGCGTTGCGGAAGCAACAACAACATGTGCTGTCTTAACCTGCACCACCCGAACACACCCGATTCACAATCGGGCTCCCAGCCTTGTGTGAGAAAACATTTTCTGCTTCTTTCGTACCTCAGCCAGCAGAAAATAACACTTCTTTTGTATTTTAAACTTAACCCCAATCCTAACCCTAAACCTAACCCTTACTCTGATCCTAACCCTAATCTTAATCTTAATCCTTTCCTAATCCAAACCCTAACCCTAAAAGTCTAAAAATAGTAACTGTTCCTAAATCGCGACTCATATGGCGGGAACACAGCTCCACAGTAAAAAATCCACCCATGATATTAACTACCGATACCTTGACAACATGAGAGGTATCCATTCCAGATCCTTCATTGACACAACGTCTTATAATTTCACAGAGTACCTATATAGAACGCGTAACTAGGTTGAAAAACTAAACACACTACTACAGTGCGGTGCCCTTAAACAAGTGCATCACAAGCGCGAAGACATACTACTTTTGAATAACTACCAAGGATGAAGGCTTGTATATAGCAAACAAGCTAACAGACTTACAGATTAACAAACTCAAGCACCGAGTATAAAGCGATGGCAAACTTCGTGTTGTTTTTTTACTTTGCACCGCACTAAACATCTATTACTAAAAATACCCTGTACAATTATACACATATTCACATATTCCCTTAAAGAGTGTATTGAAAAACGAGGCCGAGTTTTTTCACACATTTTGAGGTATTTTATACGCCGGTAACGCTGAAATGAATATAACTGGAACGCTACCTGCCTATCTGCCTAGTATCTTTTTCTTGCCTATAAACTGCCTATCTTTTTCTTGAAACCAAATCTTACCTGTCTGATCACGCGTGTTTATGCCATGATTGACTGATTGAGCGCTCTGCACATGCGTGAAAAGACTGGGATTGGCCTTCAAGTTGGCTTCAAATTTCCGGTTGATGGTAACGTGATATTCATTTCAATGGGGGGGGGGGACTTTTTAATTGCCACCCCCTATCTATTCCAAACTTCAGACATGGCTTATTGTATATGTAAACGGGTAACAATGGCTAATTGTATATGTACGCCGGTAACACTGAAAAGAATATAACTGAACGCTACCTTCTGATAAACTGCCTAGCTTTTTCTTGAAGCCAAATCTTACCTGTCTGAATGGAGGTCAGACCACGCGTGTTTATGTCATGATTGACTGATTGAGCGCTCTTCGCATGCGTGAAAAGACTGGGACTGGCCTTCAGGTTGGCCTAAAATTTCCGGTTGGAGGTAGCGTTCCAGTGATATTCATTTCAATGGCCGGTAATAAACAGCCTTCGAGTTTGTTATGTTACTTCTCAATGCAAACGGACTTGTATTTAAAGAGAAATTCAAGGAGGTAGTTGAATATTTAATTTATGGGCGTTTATTACAGTGGTATCAAGACAACCATACGGTGCTGGTTTCGTTTGTGTTTTGCTCATGAATTATTAATGATTTTGAGCAGTAGAAGTAATACATAATGTGGTCATAGTTTTTTCTGTGCTGGTGTTGTGTACTCAGATGAATATGATATTTTTTATGTTACTCTGAGTGTATATCCACACCGGGCAAGCTTGAAAAATATGCCCGGCCACGGTGAGAATCGAACCTACGACCTTTGGAATACTACCCCCAATGCTCTGCCAACTGAGCTAAGCGGTCAGGACGGTTCGAGTATGTGATATTTCGGAACAGAATCTAGTTCTTTCGATCCCAATGTAATCTTGTAATATGATTTTTCTGTGCTGGTGTTGTGTACTCAGGTGAATATGATATTTTGTGATGTTACTCTATGATGGTCTGGAAGTCTAGCAAACTTCAAAACTACAAAATGGAAGGATTTTGTTTGATGTTGAACTGTACCGAGCTGTGCACAAATACTTTGTCTCAATTTTATTAAATATTATTCATCGTGTTTGCAGCTTCTCAGCTATCCCTGTTGGACGATTACGTCATTATTCGGAAATACAATGAGCTCAATCACGGTGAACGTGCACAATTAACATAAACTCAGACAAAAACATAACAGAATGACTTCTGATTAGTTTACAGACCATCGCATCTTCATAGACTGTGATGTGGTATACACGATCTTGGTATACCAAAAGAATGTACCAGGATATTTGATTTAATAAGTAAAACTTTTACCTGTAGTACTTTCAAAGGTAGCTCATGGTCGTAGTTGGAGAGTTGCTCATGATACTCAGACAAGTTTTGAATCAATCCAATCGCAACACTTGATACAGACCAATTTCTAAACTGTTGGAAGATATGAACAACGATTACGATTTACCTTGTATAGCGCAAACTTACATGTGGAATCGTGGATACGATCAAATGCGCTTTACATCAAGTATTACGCTTGCCTATTTTCATCCTTAGCCAAGACTATTTTATTTTTACAACAATTAGACTGCGAGAAATCCCTCTATTTTCCTTCGTTTTATTGTTTCGCGGAGTCCGCGAAACAATAAAACGAAGGAAAATAGAGGGATTGCTCGCAGTCTATACAACAATGGACCATTTGCATTATAGACTAAATTTTGATCTAGACAAAAATTTCATCACAGCTTGAAAGAGCAACACAAAATTAGTAATATTCCAAAGTTTCGTTGCGAAATGTTGTAAAATGCAGATAATATAGCCTTCCGAAATTTGCAATTTTCAGTCATTTTGTATTACAAACGGGAATTGATGCCCCAACACCCGATTGGGCTTTCCCATGCGTAATACAAAATGTCTGAAAAACAACAAACTTTGCAAGGCTTTATTATCCGCATTTTACAACATTTCGCAACGAAACTTTGGAATATTAGTAATTTTGTGATGCTCTTTCAAGCTGTGATGAAATTTTTGTCTAGATCAAAATTTAGTCTATAAAGCGAATGGTCCATTGTGATATATTACTTTTCTAACTGTGTTTATCCTAACCCATCCTGCAGGCCTCGAATGTCCCTGAAATCAATCGACGGCAATGGCGTTAAAAATTGCCGTAGAACGTAACAGCTGTCTGCGGCAATTTTGACAGTTTCCACGGCATTTTTCAAATTACTGTAATAAAATTTTAATTTTATTGTTACTTTGGATTTTTGACAAGCTAGAAACATGTCTACGTATTTCTTTAGTGTTTTCTTTTTTCGAAGACTACAATAGACTACAATAGACTACAATAGTGATTTACGCATGATTTGATCAACATCTGAATTTAAATATCAAAATAGTAATGCACAGTGAATATAGTATCGAGCCCTGCCATCCTGTCATCTTTCCCCGTGGGAGGAAACCGGAGCACCCCGAGAAAACCCACGACTTTCGACAGAGCGTTGACCGACTCTCCTCACATGAATCCGTAGAGAGAATCGAACCCACGAACTCAAAGGCGCCTGCTCTGACGTCTACGTCATACGAGACAAGATTAACACAGGCCTGTTCCACGTTATCTCATTGGTAGATAATGACGTAATGAAACGAGGTTTTGAATGTCGAGATGATGCGGACAAAAAATATTGACTTTTTATATCGGTTTCGTTTTTCTTAAAAAACCACCGCAGCCTAGTAATACATACCATGATAGATGTTAGTAGGAGTGAAGTATAAACATGAATACGACCATGTCCTTTGTTGTAAGTTAATTCTTCCACTATGAATATTCCGATTGCGCATAATGCTGTACACCTTAAAGAAGTAATAAATATATTGTATATAATAACATATAATACATATTACCCTCTATACTGTACAACTCTATTCGATTTTGATTTTCAATAATGTGAAGTCCATTTTTCAACAATGAAATTCTAAAATGTACCTTGCATGACAGTCAGGATCGGTAACAGCAGCTTTATACAAAGCATCACTAATCTTGTCCTGAAATAAAATATAAGGGCAGATCAGAGATGGAAGTTACTTTTCATACAACAGAATTCAAAAATAATTACCTTTATCTCTCGACATGAAATGACCGTGGGTTGATCATTTAGTGTTGGAGAACCAATCTGATAAATTTTCATATTTGGGAACGCATTCGGATAACATAACAAGGATCCTAGAATTGTAACTGCCTCGGTTCTGGGATACTGTAAGAGAGATAAGAGTTATTATGATAGGGTGTGCCGCGAGTAAAGATGATGCTTCTGAAGCTCTTCACCAAACAACAGTAACAGCAACAGCAGCAGCAGCAGCAGCAGCGGCAACAGCAACAGCAACAGCAACAGCAACAGCAACAGCAGCAACAGCAACAGCAACAGCAACAACAGCAACAGCAACAGCAGCAACAGCAACAGCAACAGCAACAGCAACAACAACAACAACAACAACAACAACAACA